TATCCTATAACATGGCAAAGTATTTGCACAAAGCACTGCACATTCTCTCATGGACTTGAAAGAATCTTCAGGTGTTCAGTACATAGGCAACACTTTAAAACTCCACATTGATGCTCCTCATCCAAAATGCTGAAGAAAACTGTTTGAGCTCTTATTTTTTTCTCTTTTTTTGGCCAAAGTTAGAAAGTGCTTTGAGCACTGAAGGAACACTCAACCTTTGTAAGTGGTGCATTTTGGGCTATGGTTGGATGATCATCCAGTAGTCTATGCAATTCATCACTGTGAAGGAAAAAATAAAAACACCTGCTGAAACCTCAAACACTTCTAGTGATCTGGTGCTAAACATTTCAGACAAGGGGCATTGAACCTGTAGCTCTGATCCAAGGTTTGTTGAAGATGTAGAATAAATGGATTTGGAGGGTTGAGTATCTATCTCAGGTTGGCTTCCTAAATTAGGCCTTATCATGGCCTTCCTGGTGTCTTTGATGCCACTGTTACTGCTCGAATTAACACGGAGTCCATTATGTAGGTGAAAACTAGACACTTTAGTCATGTAGTTTAAGTTCCCAGTTCTGTTTCTTACAAGCTCTTTAGTTTCTGGGCAGTTGCTTCACTCTCTGAGGTTCACTCACAAATGCTTATGTTAGAGGGTCTAGTGTAGTTCCTTGGAGATGCCTAAATAGAAAACAAATCATTCTCAGGTTTTCTTTCCTAAGTTGTTGCTATAAATTGTACATTCTTGTCCACTAAGACAGGGTCTTCAGTTTCCTTGAGCTCATTATGTCTTTGTGTCTATTAGTGAGATATGCTAATATGCACTGGTGCATTCAAATGCCACATTTTAAGATATCACCTTATAAGGAGTTTGATCATTCTGCCAGGCCCTAGAATGGAACTCTCATCAGTGTAATCAGATCAGGTCCTCTTGTGCACAGAATCCATCTTTACCTGCATTCTTCATCTGCCAGTCAACAGATGCTTCTCTTTCTACCCAAGAAGGATGCTGCTCAGAGAGAGAAAACTACAAGTGAACCCTGACATGGTCAGCCTCTGTCAGTCTGATGCCCAAGTCTTGCCATGGGCTGTGAATTGGAAATAATAATGTGCAATTTACCTGGCTGTTTTCAGGAGGCTGTTCTCAGAATCCATGATTCAGCAAGGTCCCTGAGATACACTGACACTTGTGGTATTCTTTATACGAATAATGCCAAATCTGAGAAGTTCCATGAGACAAGAAACTCACTTAGATTGGTTGTGTTGAAACCACAAGGATAAAAACACGATTAGTTCCCCTTCTGTATCTATATTTCTTAATACCATGACCTTCCAGTACTAAGAGAAGCTAGTGTGTGTGTGTGTGTGTGTGTGTGTGTGTGTGTGTGTGTGAGTGAGTGTGTGTGTTTTGGAGGCAAGTGCCAGTTGTAAGGGAATCACATGCACACATTAAGGTTGTCAAAATACCTACAGGTTCTAGGTTAAATTTATTGAGATCTCTGAATGGTGATCCTAAAACTTGGACATAAAAAGACCTTCTCTGGGGGCTGGAGAGGTGGCTCGGCATTGACAACTGTGCACTGCTCTTGCAGAGGTCTTCTGATTCCCATTATCTACATGGGGCAGAGTTAATAACCATTCTTAATTTCAGCTCCAGGGTATCACATGTCCCCCTCGGGCCTTCAGAGGCACCAGCACACACACACTCACACACACACTCACACACACACACACACCAGAGAAAGTTTTCTCCCAGCTAATATCTTTTAAATTTTGAAAAGGTCAATTTGCAAACAGGTTGAGAAAGAAATGAGGCAAGAAAAACATTTTTTTCAGTTATTCCTTGACTGTATCAGAAGTTAAATTCCCTTCTCAGTGAACAGAAAGACAGACAGTATGGTTCCCCTAGCAGTGTCAGAAACACAAAGGGATTTTATCCCCCCAGTGGTGAGAACAGTAAGGAAGAAAGGAAAATGCTTGGGAAAAATGAATGCTAAGAAAGCAAACACCACAATGGTGATGTCTTCAGAAACCAACTGTGAGAAAAATGGGCTTGGGATCCTGTTTGCCAAGGACTGGTCAGCGATTCCTTTGTGCTGTGCAATGACAAATTAGAAACAATGATATCAAACACAATGTCTCCTTTTCTATTCATGGCCCCACTTTGCTTTGCCATTGATTAAATGAGCAAATTAGGGAATGCTCATTTTAAGACACTGCTCCAAAAATAACCCCATAGAGTCAGGTCACACGACAACAGGAAGCAAAAGGGAAAAATGTGAGACTAGACTATGACCTACAGCAGCTACTTCATGGGTAAAGTGGAGAGAACCTCCCCTGTCCATGAAGTCTAACTTGATGGCTAATTTCCCTGGCTGCTTAACTTACCAAATGAGGCAGAGATGAGTAAGTACTTGACTAAGAAAAGAGAACTTTTGCCACCTTGCTTTCCATTAAGGAAAAAACCAAGCCAATAACCTGAATGGAGTAAAATAAGTTTCAGTATTTTCCTAAGTACAAGAAGTAATTATTATCCCAAACTGGTCTGCGAAATGATATCCTTCCAATGAACATTTGGATTCCCTATGCCTGTTCCGCTGTCTTTTCAAACCGGTGTGCCAGCTCAAAGCTTAGCTTTATTGGTAAATGATGTCTTCTTGCAACAGCAGGCAGCCTTAGACCTTGTGCTTTGCTGCTGACCTGCCTTGTGGCTTCCAAATTTAACAGGTAGGTGATCTGCTTTTCAGCAGATATCTGAAGACAAGAATGTTCATGCCTGCAGAGGGAGCAGCTTCAGTTCTGTCCCATGTGTACTTGACCATAAAACTATGTAAGATATTTTGCTAGTTTTCTGGCCTGTGTTTGTTCTAAACCTTATTCCAGGTAAATGGGAATTCAAGGATATCCTGCATGTTTAAAGCAGGGGTATACAAGGTAAGAATTATAAGAAGACCACCGGGCCTAGAGAATTGATGGAGGGCAGAGGAGGCTGCTTGAGAGTTGCATACCTTCCCTGTGCCCCTGAGAAATGCTTCTCATTCTGATATTGTCTGTGTTTTGGTTGCAGTTTGCTTGCTGAATCTGGAATTCTGTCCCACTCCCCTTTGGACTGGGAATGAAAAGGCTGGTGTTCTGAAGGGTGATTCACAAAACAAAGCACTTGACAATCAAAGTCCTCTCCTTTCCCACCTCATCTGGACTTTCTATTTGTTCCCTTAGCCTGTTTTCTTCTCATGAGGCACCTGTTTCCTCTTAGCCCCTTTCTCCAATCCCATCACTCCACAGAGGCAGCTGCCATCTGGAACAGCTTTCTTTCATTCTCTGTCTTATAAGTGAGGATTTTCAGATGGGTCTTTTTGTCATCTACCTATATTTTTCAGTCTGTTCCCTTTAATGTTCACAGAACTCTGCAAAACTAACTCCTGCCATCCTGAACTTCACAGACATAGTTCCTGTGTAATCTTGAAATAGTTGAGATAAACTGTGTGTAATATTTGGACGACCAATGCCGGCCTTAAGAAATCACTCCGCCTTCTGCCAATGGTCTGTTTCAGCAGACATCTCCATAGCAGTATAAACCCTATAAGCACATGTTAAAAGGGAGACTATAATAAGGTTTGAAACATTCTTTAACTCTGTTGCAGACTTTGATAGAGAATGTGCATAGTGTAAAATAAATGAAAGAGAGTGATACATGCAATGTATAATTATGCCAGGATTATAGTAGTATGCATTTTTTTATATGAACAATTTACTCCATTGGGTTTTAGTCAGTGGTACTGAAAATATGGAAATCCTATTCATTAAAATAGATCCATTAATTTAGTTCTCCCAATGCATTTGTGCATGTACATATGCATGTGGGTACTTGTGTGTCTTTGCACACCAAGGAGCATGTATAGAGGTGAGAGGGCAACTTAAAGTCATTTCTTTCCTTCAACCATGTGGGGTCCAGGGATGGAATTCAGACCAGGTTTGATAGCAGGGACCTTTACTCATGGAGCCATTTCCTTGTTCCAGGAGGCTTCAGTTAAAAGGAATACTTCTTTCTTTACAAAAAGCACTCAAAAGATTTTAGGGCCTGACTGTAAAAGAAAGCATGCACATATTATACTTGGTTGTTGACTGTATTGGTGTGAAAGATATTACCGCTGCAGCTAGCAAGAACTATAAATAATACATTATTGCAAGTGTTCTAAAAAAATCAGAACAAACTAATTTATTGTACGTCTGTCTTCAGTATACACCAAGTTGGTGAGTTAAACACAACAAAATTATCTTTTCTTTTTTTAAAAGTGTCTACTAAAGATAAAAAGAATATAGTAACAATTAACATGTAGTTCATTACATTAGAAAATCTGATATACATATTTCTATTGCCTGTTAGCTTGTTCTAAGCCTCTTAGACTATTACAAAAGAAAGAGGAAGGAAAGAAAAGTGGTTGCTGAAAGGCAAACATTCAATTCAGTTGATACAACATTACAGTACAGCCAACTAACATCATTCAACAAAGTAGCAAGTTTAGTCTTAGCTTGAATTAAAAGTCTGTAGACCAGATTGCTACGAAGGATTTAATGCTGCTTCCAAACTGTGTGTTAGCTTTTGAGAGGACACGGTTCTTTGTATTGATGGCTTCAGAAGAAGGGGTCAAGCACAGAGGAGCCCCCACCTGTCATTAATCATTTTATTGAGCATTGTAGTTAAGACAGCATTATTGAGTTTAGCACATCAACTAAAATAAAATAATAATAATATAATAATATAATAATCATAATAATGATAAGGATAAAAACCAAACACAAACTGGAAGCTGAGAGCCACTACCAGCCGTGTCAAACCCTTGCGATACGCTATACTAAAAAACTTTGAAATATCCACCCATCCTCTCCACTCTGCCACAAACTAGCAAAGTCAAAAGTACAAAAGTCTTCACCTTGTTATTTTTGCAGAATAAAGCAAAAATGTCTTTGTGCTCCTTACTACCAGAAGCAAAATACCCACTGAGTTACCACATGTAATAGCTTCTGGATGTGTCGACCTGGGTTGGCTTGGTGTCTGCCGAGCCATCTTTGTCCTTCTCGCTGTCACCTTCCCAGAGGTTAATGAGTGGGGGGTACAGCTCGTTCAGTGGGATGGAAGAGGTTTTTTGCATATACTTTTTCAGCGAATGGTGGTAATTTTTCCTCTTAAACCTTTTGGCAATGTACACAGCAATGGATGCCAGACTGATGACAGCAAACATAGACCCCATCACCGCAGCCAGGGCTGTGCTGGTTTCATGGTCAGAGATATCCAGGGTGAAGGCAGCATTTTTGGTTGTGACATTGACACAGGACTTTTGAGTCTGCTGGTGGATGTTGGACACCGTGAGACACACTTCATAATCTGTGGAGGGCTGCAGATGTGTTAGGTTATATTCGTGGACATCTACTGGAACCCTGGCTGTGTATGTGATGTGGGGGTTGTCAATCTTCATAGTGGCAGATGACCATTTTAAATTTGATGTCATGACATTGGAATTAACTTTCCAGGACACTAAAATCGAATGAGATTCTGTCTGTTTGACATATATTTTCAGCACCTGGGCACCATCTAGAAGGGTTCCATTAACCTTGATTGCTGCCACTCGAGTGTCAGCTCCTTGGACATTCTGGGCAACACATGTGTACCTTCCGGAGTCTTCAATCTGTATATTTGCTATTTCCAAGGTGCCTTCATTACTCAGCTTGTATTTATCTGACAGTGTTTCCACAGTTATCTTATTTCCAATGGGAGTGACCCAGTAGATTTCTGGTTCTGGCTCGGCCATGGCCCGGCAATCTAGGAAAACTGTTGTGCCGATGTCCATGTTTAAATGATTTGGGAATGTGTCGTGTGATATCATTGGGAGGCACTGCTCGCTGGAGTCCTGGATTAACACCTCCTTCACCTGCTGCCCTCTGTATTCAGGTGGCATGGCACAGAACATGGAGAGGGGCTCCATGAAACGGATGTTGGTTTTGTTGGAGTTAATCCAATGGATGACACAGTCACACCTCAGGGGATTGCTGTGGATGCTGATTTCACGCAGATTGGGGAGAGACTCTACGGTCTTTTGGTAAACGGCATTCAAGGCATTATTGTTCAACATCAAGCTTTCTAGAGCAGGGACGCTTCGGAAAGCCAAACGGTGGATGTATGACAGTTTTGGGTTATTGGTTGCTTCTAGCTTTGTCAGTTCAGGCAAGTTATCCAGGGCATAGCGGTCCACCGAAACCAGCTCTCCCATGTTGTTGATTCCCAATTCTTTCAACCGAAGCATATTTTTAAAGTCCCCTTCTTGGATTTTGTGAATGGGGTTTTTATTGAGGTCTAAGAATTTCAAATTTGGAACTTTCTGAAGAGCAAGTTGAGGGACTTTGATCAGTTTGTTGTCATAAAAAGACAGACTCTCAAGGCTATCCAAGCCTACCAAGGCGTTTCCAGGAACATCAGTGAGGTACATTCCTGCCAAAACTAGGCTTCTCAAGTTGGAGAGGGGTCTGAAGTTCATGTCCAGGATTCCAATTACAGGGTTTTCCCCAATCATGAGGATTTCCAGGTTAGGTGTAGAATCAAACCAGCGGCTATCAATCACTTTCAATTTGTTGGAGTTCAGGTGCAGCCTTAAGAGATTTTTTAAGCCGGAAAAAGCATTAGCTGAAATTGTACTGATCTGGTTATGGTTGATGTAGAGTTCTTGAAGGTTGCTGAGGTCTTGCAGACAGTAATCCGTCATCTCTGAAATCTGATTTTCCTCTAGATGTAGGGTTGTGAGCTGGGTCAAGTTTGCCAGCCCCACCTCTTTGATGTTTGTAAAGTTGTTCTGGGAGAAGTCCAGCTCAGTCAAGTTGAAAAGCTGCTGAAGCTCACCCACGGTCTTGGCGATATTATTGCTCTGTAGGAGAAGCACTTGTGTGTCACTAGAAAGGTTGCTAGGGATCCTTGTTAGACGGAGGTCATTACAATCAACAGTGGTAGCTTCTCTGTATGTGGATTGTGGGGTAAACCAAGGTCGAATTTCACATACACAAAGCTGGGGACACTCGCTATTCAGTATGGAAGACTCAGTTAATGAAGTCATCAGCAAGCTCAGCACCATTCGGCAAGCTGCTATCCCAATGCTCAATCTGGCCATGGTGGCTTGCAGAACACACTCAGGTCCCGATCAAGATCTGAACACTGTTCAGTGGTGAGTAGCACAACAAGCAGATAGTGTAAACATTCAAGCGAGTCTCAGTTGAACAGAATTCCAGAGTCTAAAGGATGGTTTTCTGAACTTCCCTAGAGGCACGAAGCAATCTGAAACCCTTTAACTGTGTCACTCAATTCCAGACATGTGCACAGGTCCTTGTTGGAGCTTCTTCGGCCAAGTCTGGAGACGTGTCTGAAAATTAAATCAGGGAAGACGTTATGCTTATTCTGTTGACTCCCTTTTGTTTACAAGAGTATAGTCACTCACATAGCTGAAAAAACTGTGATCCGAATGCATTCAGAGTATCCAAGCAGACTTGAGTCTTAGGATGCTCTTATTATAGCCCACTTACTACACTGATACTATCTAGAACTGCTTTTGTTTTATAATTAGAACTGCACATAGTCCAGCTTAGCCATTAAATACACACACTTACTCTAGAAAATACTAAAGACAACATTCACTTTAGAAACTGCATGTTTATGCTTCTAAAAAGATAAATGGTCACTCTTAGAAACAGCCAAGCATGGAGAGTAATTCACAAAAGACACAGCACATCTTAAATTACCTGTGGTATTTTAATTAATACATTTGTTTTCAGGGATTCTTTCATTTCCAAATGCTATATTCTGTAGTTATATATAGTGGGAGTGTTCCAAGTTCAATTACTTTTATGTAAGAAGTCAATTCAACAGAAGTATGGAAGGAAAATAGCAAATTTTCCTATATTCTCATAGCCATATGATCTCAGATGAAATCATCAACGACGGCTCTGCCTGACTACAAATTTTTTACTAAAAACATAAATATATTCAACACATGAGAAAATATGTCTCAGGCAAGAAACAGAGTTTGAATGGTCGAACACCGGCCTACACCCATGAGATTCTAACGTCAGTCCCCATCATTAAAAAAGATAATGTGTGTGTATACCTAACACTTATGTTTTCAATACAGTCCTTTGCATATCGCTGGCTATTTAACAGCCGCAGACCATTGATAGATCGCATCATCTCTCAGTTTCTTCAGGTTACAAAATAGGGCGGCTCACAAAGGATTCTTACAGTATTATTGAAGAATTGAATTTATGTTAAAAAAAAACAAAACCCAGGAATCAATATAAAACTCTGTATACAGTGTTTGGCACATATTAAGGGCTCATAAAAGTTGTATTTGCCATCTACTGTTAGGTTATTGTGTTTCCAAATATTTTGGTCTTAGCTCAATAGTGGTCCTCAGGGAACAAAGAGCTGATCCTATTGACTTAAGTATTGGTTTTAACAAGATACCAGAAAAAAGTGTAACATGTATGTCATTTTACTTTATATAATACCAGTCCTTACAGTTTCTAGTGTTTTGAATTCCAACTAGCTATAAAAAGCCATTATATACCTAACTGACATTAATCTTGCTTTCCTAAGAACAGAGTGGACACTTATAATCATGCTGAAGTATGATTATATATTATATATTTCCTCATATTTCTCGGTTATAATGCATACCAGCTTTGAGAACTGAAGATTTTCAGTGACTTTTTTTTCTAGAATCATTCATTAAGAACAGTGGCCGGGCAGTGTTGGCACACACTTTAATCCCAGCACTGGGAGGCAGAGGCAAATGGATCTCTGTGAGCTTGAGGTCAGCTTGGTCTACAGAGAGAGTTCTAGAACAGCCAGAGCTACACAAAGAAACACTGCCTCAAAAAAAAAAATCCAAAAAGAAAATAAAATACAGTGTATATAACTCTCATGTTCAGAACACAGCAAGCTCTCACTTCATGTCAGCACTTCGTGTTATCTTTTTACTTTGTAAATATATGTTTGCCTTTGATCAGAAGCCATGATAATACAAACAATTGATTCATAGTTTAGTAGGAACTGTTTAAAAGCTCTAAAATTTTATTGTTGTTTTATTGACTTTGCATGTCCTGTTACTAGTCTCATGAAATAAAATCATACCAATTAGATTTTGACAAGTCTGAGGTGCAGCACATTTGTGTGGCTTTGAAGCTAGAAGCTTGCTGGTCTGTTGGGGAAAAAATAACACATCTGGCATTGTTTTTGCCTTCACCACCGAATCTTGTTTCTTTGCCATTTATTATGTGTTTGAAAATTTTTCAATAGTACTGAACTACATGATTTTGATGTTTACAAGTAAGTCTATAACATGCAAATATACAAAATAATATTTTGCAAATATCATTAACTCTGCAAGTTTATCCTATGTTCACTTCTGTTTAATTTTAAAACAGGTTCAAGGGAATTATGAACTTAAAAAATTTCTCAATCTCTTTAAAAAGATTTATTTATTTGTATGTATATACTATTCTGTCTGCATGTATGCCTGTGCACCAGAAGAAGACACCAGATATCATACATGGTTATGAACAACCATGTGGTTGCTGGGAATTGAGCTCACAACTTCTGGAAAGAGCAGCCAGTACCCTTAGCCTCTGAGCCATCTCTCCAGCCTTTATTCCTCAGTCATAATTCATATTAGATAGCCAAGAGTACAAATCTACCTTTCAGAACTCTGAGACAGAATTAGAGCAAACTTTTATGTTTTGATTGAATTTAAAGTAATATATTATGAAGCAAAGTGTGCATTAAACTCATTTAAGAAGCTCCACAAATAGTGTACCATTGCTGAAAGGATAATTATAATGTGTCTAAAGTCTCAATGGTGTTATGAAAAATAAATCATTTAGCTTAAATTACAGTATGAGACAATTATATTGAAGAGCTCAAATTTGTCTTTGCACATACAAAGCCTCATGCAACTGGCCATGAACCTCAGAAGGTCAGATTTCATATCAAATATGTCTCCCAACCTTAAATTTGGCACTTTTAGAAGTAGACAATGAAACTTCTAGAATACATAGGATGAATGTATTACATATAGACCAATGGACAGTGAACTCATAAATAAACAAAAATAATTTCTGACAAGGACTGTACAGCTGGAAAAGCACAGATAACATTGGCAGAACTGGATAGCCATATAAGAAGAACAAGGCAACAACTTTAGCTTACATCATCTACAAAAATTAACTAAAATTACAGTAATGGACTAAGTTGGTAAAGAAAATAATTAAGTCTCAAGAAGAAAGAAAGGAGGGAAATTTTCAATTTTAGGTTTCACAGTTATTTGTTGGACATGACACCAAAAGCTCTGGTACAAAAGCAAAAATAGACAAGTAGGATGATTTCACACGTACAGCTTTCTGTGCATGAGAAGAAATCAACAAAATACAAAGGCAGCCTCAAGAATGTGAGAAAATATTTTTTTAAGTTATCTATTGTGAAAAAGGTTAAAAGTCAGTATTAGTATTCTAACAATTGAACAACATCAGTAAAAACAAAACAAAAACATAACCTAATTAAAGCTGGGTGAAGGACTAAAACAGAGTTCTTCAACAAAAATATTAAAAGGCTCAACAAGCAATAAAAAACCCAGCTTATCATCACTGATCATAAGATAGACATAGATGACATCTTAGAGTATGTGTTATGCATTTGATATGATATGAGATGATAACTGATTATCATCATTAGAGCAGTCTCTGCCAAAAGCTAGAAAATAAGAAGTGGTGGTAAATACAGAGAGATTGAAAACCTTATGCCTGGGTGAGGATGTGCTCTAGAAAACAGTGTAGGAGGTTCTCACAAAAAGTATAAACACAGTATGAAATTCTCAAGAATTCAGTATGCATGGCTTGCCCATCATGGACTCAATCAACCTTGAATGGAAAGTATTCAGGAAAAAAATATGTGTCTGTATTGAAGTACAGATGATTGATATTATTTGCATAGAATTACACATTATCGTCATAGAATTGAAACCAAATTGGTTATTATAAGTAATCTAGAGATGGTTATAAGTACTTCTCACAGGAAGGTATGTACATAAATTACAGGCAAATACTCCATCAGTTTATGTTAGGCATTTTATGCATATATATTGGCATGTGGGGGGCTGGTATCCTCTGCCTCATTTTCTTGAGGATGTATGATGAATATCCACGTGCTAGGTTACTGATGGTCTTTTTGTTGTTGTTGTTGTTAACTTGACACAAACTAGAGTACGATGGGAAGAAGGACCCTTAATTGAGAAGATGTCTCTGTCAGATTGGTCTGTCCGCAACTCTGTGGAGGTATTTTCTTGATTAATAATTGATATGGGAGGGCCCTGATTAGGCATGCTGAGAGTATAAGAAAGATTGCTGAACATGAGTCTGGGGAGCAAGAAAGTAGGCAATCCTCTCCCATTGTCTGTGCTCCAGTACCTGCCTCCAAGTTCCTGCCATGCTTGAGTTGCTGCTTTGGTTTCTTCTAAGGATGGAATGTGATCAGGTTATGTAAGCCAAACATACCCTTCCCTACTCAAATTATCATAGAAACAGAAAGCAAACTAGGACAGTCACCATAAAGCCAGCCGCATGGTGCAATCCAGAGAGATGATTCCTGGAGACATTATGAGATGAACCAGTTACAAACAGACAATACTGTACGATCCCATTCTTAAGACGTATCTAATGTTAGAATCATAGAACCAGAAAGTAGAAAGATAACTGCCAAGAACCAGGTGAAGGAATTAGTGTGTAAGTGGTACCATTTCAGTTGTGCATGATGAATTGTCCAGAGACTGAATATACTTAGTACAACTGGACTTGGAAATGGGGAAGAGAAAATTTAATGCTGTAAAATGAAAGTAAGTGCATCAAAATTCAGGCTAACTTTTATCACACATATAAATTATCTTCAATTATGTAAAAATAAGCATTGCTGGTGTAGATAGTTAAAATAAAAAATGGCTTTATTCTGGGACTGGCTGGTTATATCTGTTAAATGTGAGAAGAAAATGTTCTGCTAATTATGAGAATAATGTTCTACAAACAAAATCTGGCCGTTTTAGGAAACAATCCCTTAAAGAACAAACTGTAG